GAACAAAATCTTCTCAACACGGTGATGTCTCTTGTTGTTTTCAATTTAAGGTGGCACTTGGGGATTTCAAACACACTCGGCAAGAGATTGAGGCCTTGGCCATCGTCCGGATGAAGGAGCTCTGTCGCACATACAGCCAAAAAGACCCTCAGGAGAGAGAGAGCTGGAAGGTTGTGGCCAAGGACGTGTGTGAGACGGTGGGCATCGGAGAAGAAGAGGGAGAGCGAGAGCAAAGGACTACAGCGGCGGCTGCCGGAGCGAACGAGAGAGGAAAGACTGATATGGGAGACCTGAAGGCACACATCGACAAGCTAACTGATATACTGCAGGAGGTCAAGCTGCAAAACAACATGAAGGATGAGGAGATTCGATCGCTGAGGGATCGCATGGTCAAGATGGAGAAGATATTCCCAGTCGATGTGCAGGTAACAGGTTTCATTCTGAGAACATCGTTGGATGGAGCTTGGAGCTGTGCCCCGGCATGCTTTACATACATGCAGCTTCTCTGTGAAAAACAGCCATATTTAACTTTCAGAAACATAGCAGATACAAACACTTCTGGTTTGAAGTGAACGAGCCAATAAAAATAAAGGTAGTCATCATCATTAAAAATGCAAAAAAAAAAAAAACATTTGAAAACATTGATTGCAGTTACATTCCCATTTATAATTATAATATTCAGAAGACTTGAGGCTTTTACACACTTATGTGTTGGCTGCACTGAACCTTTGCGACTGCGTCATCAGCTCCCTGCGTCTTTCTCTTGCTTTTAAAAATGAGTGCACAGAACCTCTCCTGAACACTAGATGGAGCTTCGGTGAACTTTAATTCACTCCATGCCACACGGTGGCGCAGATGCACACTTTGTGAGCTAGAGAAAGGGAAGAGGGTGAGCTCTGTTCATATAAACCCAAACTACAGTGAACCCTCGTTTATCACTGTAGATAGGTTCCAGAACTGGCAGCGATAGCTGAAAATCCGTGAAGTAGGGACAGCATATTTACTGTATTTATTTACCAGGTATTCAGACTTTTAAAACCCTCCCTTTACATAGTACTGTTAACAAACCATTCTTTACGGTAATGTACAGATATCTACAATACGTACATACAGTACTAGCGGATATTAATAATTATTAATGGAATTTATGAAATATTTGGGGTCTTCATATATCGCAACTATTTTTGACCTTTCCGGAAAATCCGTTATATATTTTCTCTTATAATATGCGTACGTAAAGGAAAAAATCCGCAAAGTCATGAATCTGCGATAGTCAAACCACAAAGTAGCGAGGTTATACTGTATTCGTTTTCTGGAAAACAAACCACTTCTCTTTCAGATGCACTCTCTCATATATTTTTTTACTAGCACAAACCCCTTAATAATAGAATAGGGGTATAAACAACTAATTCTAAACTGCGCAGTTTGTTTAAAGATAAAATTAATTTGACATAAGATTCATAACAGGTATTGTTGCATCTTTAAGTCAACGGAGAAGAACACTTCTACATTACACGAACATTCTCTTCTATAGCATTAACATCTCTTTTATTAACCAGGTAAACCGCAATTACCATAGCGGCCTCTGCTGGTCTTCAGTGTACTACAATCACAAAACAAAGTATTAATTTATGCAGAAATGAATATGTGAATATGTAATGATTATCCACGATACCACAGGTATTAACAATGTGAAGGTTCAAGTACAATAATAATTTACTCTGAACAGTTTTATGTCTGACCACAGTTTTATAGAAATCAACCACATGATAGATTCAGGGAAAAGACTACAGCACAATATTTGAACATTTATTTTAATCTGTACATTGACACTTTTAAAGTTTGGTGTCCTCACTGTGCTTCAGGAATGGATGAAGTCACGTGTTGTGTGCTATCCAATAGAGAGCCAATTGGAGTGTCCAATAGTTAGAAAGTGACAGTCGGAGTGTACCAGTGCCTCTTGGGTCCGGCACACATGGTGGGTTGGTTGTGAGACGCAGTTTGAGAATGCAGACAAAGTTCTCTGTGATTCTGTTTAAAGTCGTGCTGTGTGAATTCAACAACAACTGGATGCTGCTCCGACAGTCCTCTGGGAGTACTGCTCCTCGTTTTGTTCTTGAGCGCCTCCTTCCCCGGCTGAAGACACGTGACCAAACGAGCCAATCACAGCATTTGACGCACAATGTGAAAACAAAATGGCTCTGTGCATTTCTTGAAAAATGACGCAATGTCACATTCGCGTCCGTGTAATTAAGGCTAATCCCTATTGTTAACATTTTGTAAAGGAAAATATAAACTAGTTAGGGCTGAAACAATTGATTAGTGTTATCGACAAAAATTATTGACTGCAATCGACAACAACGAATCTCATTATTGATTAGTCCACATACCCACTTCTAGTTTTAGGGTTGAGCTTACCGCTTTTGTGTTCAAGACCTGAGTTTAAAAGAAAGTTACCATTAGTATTTTTATATTTGTTGATCAAATAACTCATTTAAATCACATAAATAAATACCTTTTAGAAATGTAAAATCTTAGCTATGAATTTCTGTTTCAGGGCAATGAGGATGTTCCAATTGATGATGCTGTGGAGAGAAACAATGAATCAACAGCCAACAGACGAAATGAGGATTCTGGCTATCGGCGTGGTCGCCATCGCTGGCAGTACCCAGAAAAATACCATGACCCCAAACGCCGTAGAGGAACCAACAATCAACCAAATAACTATGTGGCTCAAATCGGCCATTCTCAGGACAACCCTTTTAGCGCAGCACCCTCTCGTCCCACAAACCTAATTTTAAATCCTCAAAACCCTCGAAATCCTAACGGGCCCTTCCTTCCTGGCACCGGACGTTTTTTGCCTCCCCAAGAGAGGAAACTGCAATTCCCGTTTAAGAATAATCCACAACATCGAGGCTTCAACTGGGGCCCCACTACAAACCAAGAAACCTCAAGGGATTCATCATCTACACAGTCACCCACACATTCTGATTTTGTTCACACTTTCCAGTCCTCACCCCCACCAAATAAAGGCCAGTGGCCAAATAACCAACAACGTCGCAACCATGGCAACCGAGGCTACGGGAATTGGGGCAATCGTCAACGATCACGAAACAGAGGCAGAAGTCCATTCGATGGATATTTAACCAGTGAACAAGCTGGGAATGGGGAGCACAACGAAACTGGGTCAATCCAAGGGCCACAAAAGCAGGGTAGGGCACGATACATTTGGTACAACCCAAATTTTTCTACAGAGCCATCGGTTGGAGATGGATTCCAGCAGAACCACAGCAGACAAGGGCTCTACAGACACCCCCACTCAGAGTACAACCATTACCAGCACCCTCATAATCAAGACAGCCATCATCTGGAAATAAGCCAACGTGGGTGTGACGGCCATCCTGTTACATCTTCCCTTCCAGAATGCACTAGCACCCCAATGGAGACCTGATTTCATTGATGCCTTTGTGTCAGGGGCTCTTGCATACTGAGTCGAAAATGTGAGGTTTCATCTGCTTGTGCTGGACTCGATGATATAGATATTAATACACACTTTACAAAGTCGTTAAACGATTCTACGCTCAAACAAATCTTTCACAGTTTCGTCTGTGCACATAGACCAAGATGCGCGATCTCCTCAAACACTACTTTCATTAGCAATTTACTGATTTTACATCATTTGCAAACATGTAAAAACCTATCGCTTGTTAATCAAGGAACAAACTTTTCAAGGGAAAGAGGATAAACGACAATAATCTTGTTCAAAACATCTTTCAGTGCCACGTTGTTTTCTCGTAGTCTGGAAAACATCCCGCTGCGATCACAGTTTACTGATTTTGAAACTTATGGTGTCCTAAAGTTTTATCCTACCTCAGGAGAATTTCCCATCATTCACTTACATTGAGTATATAAAACATTAATACAAACCCTAAACTTAACATAAAAATTAAATCGATTGTTTAAAGCAGCGGTTATTGTACATCAATTATTTCAGAGAATTAAAAACTCTAATTATTTATATTATCATTTCGGTTCAAATATCAATAGACCAATCGAGTCACAACGTCAGATTTTATTTCGTTTAGTCAGATGTGTTGACTGTTAGTCCACTGGAAACTGGATCGCTAGCTGAGGAGAAAAACTAAGTCTCCTTAGCTTCTAAGAAGAAAATACAATGCTGAAAACATTACATTTGGAAACACCGAAGGCACAGTGTGTTGAATGAGACAAATAAGGCACTAAAGCTACCAAACTGGGCCTTGTGGTGAAAAAGATGAAATGTTGATTTGAAAAGTCTGTAAACATTGGAAACATTTGTCTTCTACAACAAAGAGCATGTTTTGCCTTCGAAAAAGAAGAGCATGGGGCAACTAAATAAAAAAATACATATTTTTCATATTTTTAACTAAAAACGTTGAAGAATTTGCACAGATCTGTGCATTTCTATGCACACACGCCAAAGAGGTTTGAGGGATGTGTGCACACGTGCACTATGAGCAGAGGTAGGACATTTTCATGGGTAGGAAGAAAACTATGGAGCAGCGGCGTAGTTTAACTCTTTGAAAACCGCCACTGCCACTTTCTCCTTGGCGTACAAATATATATTCACCTTCTTATCTTTCTCGAAACATCCTTCCATCGGCATCAAGTTTTGTGGTCAACATTTTTAGGTCATTGTTTGTTTGGAAAGAAATGCCACTGATGGTGGAAGCATTACAATCTAGTGAAATCACTTTACGGTAACAAGATGTCAGTTAATTGTCAAATGCACCCTTCTATATCGTAGTCTTTATGTAGCTTCCTGTGTGAATTACAATTGTGAGTGTGGGTTTTTTTCCTCCAGGAGCATCCAAAATGCAAACCCAAGATTAGTGGCAATTAAATATAGTGCTTTACAAAATCATTTTATATTTTTATGCATTTGGCATACACTTTTATCCAAATTGATTTACATTTCAATGACTTTGTCAAAAAAACTAACACAATTTGTCAGTTATTGCATTTCCTGTGGTTTGAACCCACAACCTCTGTGTTTCTAGCACAGTGCTCTACTGACTGAGCTACAGGAAAGCTATAGATGACTACAATTAGACCAAAAAAATGATCGCTTCAACATGGCCTCTACCTAAAAACTCACCCAAACCATTCTCTCACAAAGATTATTCATATCTGAATTACAAAAGATGATCAGGCTTTTTCAGCTCTCACATAAAATTGACAAGACTCTCTGATTTCACTGTGGAGGAGGCGAGGTAGTCAATTTTTTAACAATACCACAGCACTATAGTCCCAAGATTGTGCTTTGCAGCCGTGTTGGTGGAAATCCAACCACATCAGACTAGGTCTAGCTGCTGATTAGCGTCATATAAAGGAGGGGATTTGGAAAAAGAGCTGCTGTGATAAATCCATATGATACTACATATTTTATATATTTATAAACTTGCATCTCTGTCAACCTGTTGGTGGAGGTTTCCAAAACAATTTACGACCCTTTCACATCCATTATTGGGGCTTTTCAGTTTGAGTATGGTTACAGTGGATTTTTGCAGATTACGAGGCTTTTAACGAGTAATATGTGATTCTATAATGATGTCCCTGAAAGTGTGCAGGTCCCATGTAAATATTATAGTTACTTTATTAGATTTGGCCAAAAGCATCAACAAACTTGATAAAATACAAGAAGCAATGATGAACAACAGCAGGTGCACCAACAGTGGTATTTCCAGATAAAATATTTCTATTTACACACAGAAGGTGAGGAGTTAGCATGAGAACATTGAATGTTTCTGAAATGAACTGATGCTAGTGGATCATGTGATGCGGAATGTAGTTTGTTTTGTTCTGTTTAAACGTAGAACGTATGCTTCTAATGATGGTTAAGCAAGTTCAGATTAAAACATGACGTACAACAATGCTGGATGTATACAGTCCTGGATGTAAAGCACCGCCACCTTTGAATGTTTCCGGAATGTGATTAACATATTGATTTACCCCAATATAAGAGATCAGCCAATCATAGCTGCTGAAACCGGAGCTCGGATAAAATTAGCTTCCAGTTCCACAGAAATATATGGGTGGATGACATATAAGCTGGAAAAGTTTTTTTCCAAATATCATGCGTGAAATATTTTTTGTGTATGTTCTATTATGGCGGTTTGCCACTGTACGACACAGTTCAGTGTGGCTTTAGCGGCTTTTCCACTGCGATGTCGCCGTGGAATTGACACCAGTTCTGGAACTCGATTTGAGGGAGTTCTAGAACCCACAACATCACTCTGAACTGACACCATTCTCTTGATTGGCCCAGCAAGCATGACGTATGTGAGTGCTGATTGGTTCGAGAGATTCGTCATTGCTTGCATCTTTGAACATAAACATAGAGCGGACCTCTCTTTAGATGCTCGCAACTAAAAGTTAATTTAAACACCCGTAACCCATAAATCAAAAACATCAGTCGTCTGGCGCGTTCGGCATGCATTGATCTCATGTCACTCTCTTTGTTACGTGTGGTGCTAAAATACCCTGAGGATAATACACCCCCTCTGACATGACACTAAAGCCTACGGAAAAGCAAACTGGCCAAACTGAACCGTGTTGTGCAGTGGAAAAGTGCCATGTTCAAAATATGCATTTGCTGCACCAATATCTTAAATTATCATATGGTGTGATGTGAAAATGGAGTACGGTTTTTCCTCAGCCCACTTCCTCAAACTTCTTTGATATTTAACATGTTTGTGGAAAAATTGGAACTGTGGTGTATTTTTTGAGGGCATCACTGCTGAAATGTTTCAATAAATGCTCTTGAACCTTATGACAATGGTAAACAATTACCAGAGAACCTACTAAAGATACTAAATCCCTTGTGTTCTATAGATATTTACACGAATTTCCACCAAAAAAGCAGTTTTTGACTCAATTGTGACGAATTTAATGCCGTATGACATTTTTAATGTTTGGATCAACAATCCAAGTAGAATTTGCTACACACCTTGGGTAGCATTTAAATATATTTACTAAAAATATCACTTTTTTTATCTCTATGTGACAAACACCCAAATACAATCACAGCAAAAGTAACTGTGTTTACCTCCGTTTCTCTCGATGAGTAAGCGTTCACTTCAATATAGGAATCACAACTGAAGCCAATTTAAAGAATAGAAAGAAAACATGAAGCAGAATCTGCAATCTTGAGGATTCAGGGCCATCTCTGTTGCTGTGTTCAAAGAAAAGACGATACAAAATACTGATAAAAATGCTTCCAAAAAGGAAGTCGGAGCTTGAAGAATATAGTTTTTTTTAAAGGAATACAGATGGTTTTTTTAACGCACATTTTAATTGTGGAGGTCATTTGTGTAAAAGGTTCCTAGTGGTGAATTTTTGACACGTTTGGGCTCAGTATGCAAGGTTCTTAAAACAGTCAAACCCAATAGTTTTGGTTGAAACCTGTTGAACAGATGTTGAGTGTTGGAAATGGTTAACCTTCACAGATTGTTCTATGACGGACGCCCTTCATCTTGTTTCTCTGCGTATGTTTCGAGGATGTGTTTGATTTCTTTGGGGAACTCTGTTGAAAGCTGAGTAAAAATGAGTTTCTGAAAGGAGCTCTGCAGGGCTTCAAATATTTTTTGTGGCAGAAGAGTTTCTGTGTATTTTTTTATTGAATCGAACTTAAACTTCACAATGAATTCCATTGTTGTTCCCGCAAAGATAGAACAAAAGCAAGGCTAGTTTAAAAGATGACAGAAGTTTATTGTTTTCGATGAATTTCCCCTTTAATCTGCACAGTGCAATAACAGCAAAACATTATTAATGAAATGTTATTTCTCTGTAAATATTAGAGCTTGATGCCTTCAGTGCTTTATGGGTGGTATTGTGTGCGGCCGAGATGTGTATTAAAAAACATGTGGAGATTATCTTTTTAAAAAGGTTATTTTCAGAGAGTTGAACTCTATTTCTCCCAGAAATTAAATCTGGAAATAACAAATCTTTAGTTTTCTTTGTTTGGCTATGGGGTTATATCAGTTGATAAATTTCAAATGTGTTTAAAAATAAATATAGAGTTCTGTTAAATTATTCTTTCATTAAAAACTCAAATCCTGTTGGAGTGGATGCATAAAAAATGAAATTCTGGGCAAACTTAGTTTGAGTGAACAGTGGCGGAGGTGTTCCTGAAATATCTTCTTTTTTTTTTATTTTATCCTGCTGAAAAACCAAAGAGTTTGGGTTGGCTTGTATGGGATGCTGTCTGTGTGCTTTTTATTGACACATTGTTACATGAAGAAACTGTTTGTTGTGTAGTTTGGAATTTTATTTTTCTCACCCTTCATTAAGTTCCAGATCTCCTGAGCTCAAGAGAAGGGCTCTGGAAACTTAACTACATTCTGTAAAATCCTTCTTCAGAGGAAATGTAAAGGTTTGGATCTTCTCGAGTAAATGTTCATTTTGGGAGATGACATGGGATGCATGATCCTAAACATTTACCTGTTATTGTTTTACATGTTTATATCCATATATATCTTGTCTTAATCATACATAACATTATAAAAGTCAGCTAGTTGTGATTTTTTTCTTTTTCAGTTCCAAAGCAGTTTGAGTTTCAGAAAACAGTGTTTGTTTTGAGTTTAGTATAAAAGGAAACAACTGTTTGCCAGAAAGTGTAGAGAGATAACTGTTTAAAACTAAATAAATAACAATCAGAATTATACTCACCTTTCACTAGTTTCATTTAATTGTATTTTATTTTATTTTTTGAACGCAATTTTTTATATTGTTGAGCCCAGAAATCCTGTAGGAATCGGATCAAGGAAGTTCCTGGTCATGTTTAATAAATGTTGACTTCTAGTTACATCCAACAGAGTTGGGGTGTAGCAATGCATCATGGCACAATATATTGCCATACAGAAATTGGCAGAGTTACTGGAGATATCGTCTAAGATCTTCACCCAGTAGAAAAAGTGCGATGAGTAATGAGAGAAACTATTTATGAAAACAGCTCTCACTCCGAGTAGGAGAGACATCTTGCTCTTCTTTGAATCGACTTCCACCTTTACAAACATTTACTACATTTGAGTTGCATTGATGATTGCCTGAAATGCATCTTACATTTCAAAATGTAATGCTGACTTTGCTATCCTAAACATCTTCGTCCACCAAGTGTCCAAAGGAGAGTTGATCTTTGCCAAGATGTTATCACGGTCTGTGTCTATGTGGAAAATCCCAGAGCTGCTGCACTCATGTGTGAAGCTCTCGATTCATTTGGAGAGACGTGCAGAGTTTTGGCAGCTCCATTGCAGTAGACATTACGTTTTTTTAAATATCCACTTGCAAACTAATACCACACTGGGTATGTCCGGAGCAGACGTAGTCGAATTCCAATACTTTTATTTTATACTGAATGCCAATTAATCCAAAAGGATGGTAAATTCTCATTCTGATGCTGAACCAGAACCCACTGCTTAAAACATTCCTGTTTTTAGTAACATGGGTTACCGTAGATGTTACCAGTGCCACAGCCAAGATTGCTCCAGAGTTAAAAGGCAGGTACACAAGACTGTGCCAAAAAGTGAGTGCTCCATCTGCGTCTTAAGTTCCCCAGATAACAAAACTCTAATTTTGTGTTCCTAAAGTGCTCTATTCGATAACAGGATGAACATCTCTTTCTTACAATTAAGAGATGCACAGAAGCTGTGTGTAACCATTTTGTAAACCGTCCCATTTGTGATCTTTCCATAGGAAATAGAAATATGGGAAAACTGATGTGGCTAGCCGCCAGTCATAAAGGAGATTAAATATCTTGGTGTAACCCAGAGAAGGAGATTCCTCCTGGAGAATCCCCTATGTAACCTCATCAGCTGCTACTCGGGTCTAATTAGTGAGAGTGACACTAGTTGCAGGGTGACCCCACTTGCTGATAGTACATTCAAGTAGAACAAGAACACACCAGAGTCTGTACCACTCACATGAGGGTCTGCCACACCTTGAAATACAATACATTGAGATCCCAGAGACCTAGGGAAAGGATCCCTAGAGTTAAGCCCTCCACATATCGTCTGAATTGAGATTCACATGAC